CCTTTTACATTTCTCACTAAAACGTGTAACAAACTTTTAGAATCCGTTTTTGGTATCTTCAATAGTCCAAGTCTTATTTTTTATCTTTACCTTTTATAAAATATTTTTATTTTTTATTTTAAAATACCCAATATATTTAGAACTTACCTCTAAAGATTGTTCTGAGATGTATATGATCCAACTTACCTTAATTAAATATATTGGGTTCGAGTCCTGTGGTTAAATAAATCCTGTTAAAATGTATTCTCTCTTTTACTAGGCCTTACTACGAATCTAAATTAGTCGGGGTCTCAATACAAATATGAGTAGAAAACAAAAAAAAAAATTTGGGAACCCCAAGCCTTTGCTTTAGTGGCTTGACCCTTGGGCCGCCCTTGAATACTTGATTGTAAACCAGTTACTTATTATATATTTACTTAAAATCGTTGTATGAGTCCATAAACTTCGAATCCTAAATCCGCAAAAGTGCTTTGGGTCTTTGCGAATGGACGAGAAAGCCCGGACCTTTAATTTTGCATTTAACAAGGAGGCTTATCTCCTTGGGATTAACTTGAACAAACTGTCAAATGTACATAATAACATAACATGGGATATAGGGGTGTGGTGTCTGCATACAACATGGCAATGTGGGTCTAGCTAGGTTTTAAGCAACATGAAACATTTCCGTTGGCTACGGCGTAACAATGGCAGTGTCCTTCACTTCCACCATGTGTAACATTATGGGCTATAACTCACAAACATCCAAAACAAATGGTCAACTCTAACTTATGTATATTCATTGGAGTTGCAACTAGTTTAATTAGTAGATTCAGATGAATGTTTCTTGCATTGTAAGATGATCTTTGGGTGCTGTCTCGGCCTTAAATGATCCAGTGAAATTCACCGACTCACAAACATCCAAAAGAACAAAGTCAACTCTAGCTTCAATACAAGTAGCAAATTTAGCATATGCATGCAGAGGCGGAAAGAATATAAACTTTATGGTATCTCAAATTAATATACAATAATAATTGGATCACAATCAAATACTTACCTAATAAATATATAAGGTAAGAATAAAAATTACTCGATTCATATCCGCGCTCCTATATGCATGATGGTGTTTCTTGTAATAGTATTTGGGGGGCTGTCTCCGCCTTTAATAATCCGATCACCACCGACCTTAGCTTGTTGCCGACCATTTTCTCCATCTCCATGTGTGCATATTAATTTTCAATCATCTCCAGGAAGTATGTCAGTCATTTAGATAGCGTGCTATATATATAATAGTCTTTTAAACTGCTTCTCTTTGAAAGCTGGAAAAATATATAGTACTGATAATTGAGGAATTTTGTGAGTAGTTTTTATCAAGTTTCTTTGTTTTGTAATTCTCCTGACTAATTGTATGCAGCTTGTAATGCAAACAAGGGAAGTTTATGAGTTAAAAAACAATGTTACAATTCGAACTGCCATGTCATTACTTCCATTCCAATAGCCAACTGAAATTAGAAGAAAAAAAATAGTGTTCCTTCCCTTTTCCAGATAATTCTGTAACAAAGAAATCAAGATTCAAGATATAGATGAATTATGTCAATAACTGTAATTGCATGTATCAATTGAGATTGACAAAGAAAGAATTTACTGTTGGTGAATTTAAGGTGGTTTAGGGTTTTCATTTATTGAACGTGAACTATTTGTTCAGGTTGGGTTCTGCGATGGTTAACTCTTTACAAATGCTTGCATGCTTACCTTTTCAAGTTGGGGCCTGTTTCTTTTGAAGGTCTTTCTGCAGTTGTACTTTTCCCCTGATTTATGGGCTGTCTCATTATGTTATTGGATTTATCTTCAAATCTGGATTGGGTTCTCTTAGTTGCTAGGCTTTTTATCCATTCTTTAGCTTAATAGATATGGCCCATCTTTGAAATCCTGATTAAAAAATGACACTGTATAGCCGCTCTCAATATAATAACCGAAAAATATATATTTTTTGTATATATATACATTCTGTATGTTGTATACAAGAATTCTACACTTTTTCAGCTACTAAATATAAATAGTTTCTGGCGCGGGTTAAAAATGAAAAAAAGCCCTAAGATTTATAGGGGACAAGCATGCGTAGAAATAACACCAGGTAGCCATTCTAAGGGGTTGTTATTTGAGAATTAGCCAATATATTCTGACTTTCTTGTTTTCCAGTTTAATTTTTCGGGACACAGTTGTGCTGAACTGTCCTGAAATTAAAAATTTTAGTTTAAATTTTCAGAAAAAAAAAAAGTATTGGCTAATTTTGTAAATCGTTGTCCTCAGAATGATTATTTGTATACATCTTCCGCTCAGAGTCCGCTGATTCGTAATCTTGGATAAGCTAATTGGACTATTATAGGATCTTAGGGAAGTGACTAGCTAGGCATTTGACTCACTTGACTCGTTTGTTTGAGGGAAGAAATTCAAAAATAGCCATATTTACAAGTGGTCATTCAAAAATAGCCACAGTTTCAAAGGTAATCGAAATTTAGCCACTTTTCATGTAAAGATAAATCAGAACGAAAATACTGTTCAAAATACGGAAAAATACTCCAGTATAATATACCGGAATTCCAATATATAATATACTGGAACTCCAGTATAATATATTGGAGTTCCAGTATGATATATCGGTCCAGCATAATATACTGGAGATTGGAGCACCGGTATATTATACTGGAACTTTCCGCTTGTTGGAGTTCCAGCATAATATGCTGGAAGTTCATACAAAGGTGCACCGATCTCCAGTATATTATGCTGGAACTTTCCGTGTTGCAGCAAAATAGTGGCTATTTTTCAATGACTTTGCAAACGCTGGCTATTTTTGAATGACCAGTCCGAAAACTGGCTAGCCCGTGCTATTTTTACTTGTTTGATTGGACTATAATCTAACCCCGCCTATGCGAGCTTCTTCACATGGTCGATTCAAACACAGACAAAAAGTAAGTTAGTAATAATGTTAATTGTTAAATTTAAAATAATAAATTTTATAATGAATAATCCAACTAGCATATAATTGAGATATAATTATTGTAGTTGGATTATAATCCTTCTCTTATGCTATTTGGGATTCGGAGCTGACACCAGAAGTTGAGAGCTTAATGATCTTATCGACTAGTTAAGGGGCAAGCATTCCAATTTCTGCAAGGAAATCATTTATAACTTTTGTCACATCTTATATTTTACTTTTAAAAGAAAAGAAACAAAGGGCTGCATTGTGCTGAAATGGAGGTTCGAAGAGAGAGTGAAACCCTAACTAATGAGGGAGAAGAGAGAAGAGAGGAGGAACACGAAGATGAATGTAACAGTGAAGAAGAAATGAAAGCTCTGCTTTTCATTACTTGTACAACTTGTATATATACAAGACTTCACTAACTACTCTAACCACCTTACTAACCAATTACATGTGTTATTAACTAACTAACTAATACACTAATCTGCTAACACATAAATAGACTAAACTACCCCTGTACTCAAGTTATATCTTTTGTCTCAACACTTTCCCTCAAGCTAGGTGGTAGAAAAATATCAAGTACACCTAGCTTGGACAGCAAATACTCGTGTTGCACTCGTGGTAGACCTTTGGTTAGAATGTCTGCTAACTGTTCTTTTGTAGCTACATATTCTGTTTGTACCAGACCATTCTGTATCTTTTCCTTATAAAATGAAGGTCTATTTCAATGTGTTTGGTTCGTTCATGAAACACTGGGTTGGCAACTATTTGAATTGCTGCTTTACTGTCAGTGTAGATGTTCACAGGGAGGCCAACTTCTATACCAATGTCTTTGAACAGACCAAGTATCCACACCAACTCTGCTATAGTTGATGCAATGCTTCTGTATTCAGATTCTGCAGAACTCCTAAAAATGGTGCTTTATTTCTTTGATTTCTAGGATATCAGGGAATCACCATATTTGATGAAGAAGCCTGTTACTGACTTCCTAGTGATAGGACAGGCTGCCCAGTGTGCATCACATTATGCAGTGATAGTGTTTTGATAGTGTTTCTCTGTTTGCTAGATAACAGTATGCCTTGGCCTAGTTGATTCTTCACATATTTAACCACCCTTTGAGCAGCTTCCGAATGTGATCTTTTTGGTTTCTCCACAAACTGGCTTAGTGTCTGAATACTATATGCTATGTCTGGCCTTGTGATAGTTAAGTAGAGTAGTTTCCCCAGTAACCTTTGATACTGGCTGATGTATGTTAACACTTCATCATCAGTTGCATTAGAGCTGCCAGTATGTTCATCATACTCCTTAGTGGTAATTTTGATGTTGGCTTCAATAGGTGTTGCTGCAGGTTTTGCAGCTCCTAATCCAAGCTCAGAAATCAGCTCTAGAGTGTACTTCCTTTGGTGCATTAGAATGCCTCTTTGTGACCTGGTAAATCCAATGCCAAGAAAGTATTTAAGATCTCCTAGATCATTCATTTTGAATGTCAGTTGCAGCTTGGTCTTCATCTCAGCTATTAGTGTCAAGTTAGGCCCAGTGATTAGCATGTCATCAACATACACTAAGATGATTATGATATGTTCACTTGACCCTTTGATGAACAAGGAGTGATCATGTTGGCTTTGCATGAAGCCAAGTCCTAGAAGTGCCTCAGACAGCTTAGCATTCCACTGTCTTGGTGCATGTTTGAGCCCATACAGGGATTTCAACAGTCTACATGCTGGTCTTGTCTCCCTCTAACTCTGAAAGCTCTGTTGTAAGGTCATATATATCTCATCATATCTCCTTGAAGAAAAGCATTGTACACATCCATTTGATGAATGTGCCACTGCTCAGAGGCAGCCACAACTAGAATGGTTCTAACAGTAACCATCTTAATTACTGGACTAAATGTTTCTTGGCAATCAATACCCTCCTGTTGGCTGTACCCTTAGGCCTCCAACCTGGCTTTGAACCTCTCCACCTCCCCTGTAGCTTTGTACTTCACCTTATAGATCCACTTATAACCAATAGGCACCTTGCCTTCAGGTAAGGACACCACATCCTAGGTGTGATTGGATTCTAGTGCTGCAATTTCAGCTTGCATAGCTTCAACCCACCTAGGATCTTGAGCAGCTTGCTCAAAAGAAGTAGGTTCCTGGATTGCAGAGAATGCTGTCAAATAGGCCTGATATTTTGGAGAAATTCTATCATAAGACACATAGTTAGAAATGGAATAGGGAACAGATTTGTGTTCAGGCTGTGACACAAAGTCCTTCATCCATATGGGAGCCTGCCTTGTCCTCAAAGATCACCTCATACCAGTGGATCGCTGAGTGGGAGGAGGAAGTATAGAAGGCATCACATCTGCTGCAGACTGGTGCAAAGGAGAAGAGTCAGTAGACTTATGCCTAGTAGGAACAGGAGGAAGTGAAGGCTGCTCTTCACTAGAACTGGACAATTCAGGAGGCAAGAAAATAGGTGGTGATGTGTCTGAGATGTCTTTGAAGGGAAATATATCTTCCCTAAAGGATACATCCGTGTTGATAAAAAAAACAATGAGAAGAGAGATCCAATAGAATGTAAGCCTTCTGAGTGTTAGAGAAGCCCATGAGAATAGATGGCTTAGCCCTGGGAAGAAGTTTGTCTGTTTCAAGAACTTGCTTGGCATAACACAAGCAACCAAGAATTCTTAAGTGACCCAGATTAGGTGCTCTACCATACAATAGTTCAAAAGGAGAAAGACCATGAAGGATAGAAGATGGCATCCTATTTATGAGGTACACTGCTGCAAGCACACAATGCCCCCAATATTTGATAGGAATATTGGCCTGAAACCTTAAAGCTCGTGTGACTTCTAGGATGTGCCTATGCTTTCTCTCAGCAGCTCCATTTTGCTGAGGAGTATAAGCACATGTTCTTTGATAAATGATACCATATTTCTGAAACAATGTGGTACAGTTAGAGTTGACAAACTCAGAGCCATTGTCTGGCCTTACTACTTTCACAACTTTGTTAAACTGAGTTTGAATGAGCACAATAAGCTGAGTAAGCACCAGACATACATCATATTTGAGTTTCAGTAGAAAAACTCAAGTCATCCTAGCAAAGTCATCAATAACTGTCAGGAAATACCTATTGCCATCAAAAGTTGCACAGTTATATGGACCCCAAACATCAAGATGTATTAGATCAAATGCAGCAACAGTCTTAATACAGCTGGAAGGGAATGGCAGTCTGGTTTTCCTAGCACAAGGGTATACACTACACTTATTGATAGTGTCATTGATACTAGCTAGTTTGGCAGCAAACAGTTTTCTAAGAACAATATTAGATACATGCCCTAGTCTTTTATGCCACAAGGCAACATCAACTGTAGTGTCACCCTGGCTTGACTTTATTCCAACATCAACTAAAGAGACTGCGGTGAGCATCTTTCCACCGTATTTCTGCTGAAAGTATAGACCATCTCTTTCTCTACTAATCTCCCTCACCCTGCCACTTAAGAGATCCTGAAAGACACAAAAATCGGGATAAAAGGTAGCAAAGCATTTAAGATCTCTTTACACTTTGGAGACTGATAATAAGTTGAACTTGAACTGAGGCACATAGAAGACATCTTTAAGTGTGCTTCTGTCTGAAATATTGTTGTCACCAGTGTGAGTTACTAGAGTGACATCTCCATTAGGTAGTAAGACTGTTCTAGGCTTAGAAGGAGTAACTACAGAAGTCTTAGTAAGTAAGTTAGCATCTGACACCATATGATTAGTTGCTCCAGTATCAATAATCCAATCTTGTGGACTAGTAGATGCTAAGAGGGCAGTGCTAGTACCTACCACATTTGCTTGAGCAGAGGAAGTTGAATTGTTCAGAATTTGCATTGTCTGATCATTCTGGTCTTTAGTGAAAGGAAAAACACTTCCTTGAGCCTATGGGGAAGAACTTGTGTAAGGTCTCTGTACCTGTATAGAGGAAGATCCTGCTAGAGCTTGTGTGCCAGAATGACCATGTGCCTGATTCATGGCTTGTGAATACTCAGCTCCTTCATTCATGACCTGTTGAGGATTTTCATATGCAGGCAAATGAGGCATTGTGTTTGCTGAGAAACCTAGTGTGAGGCATGATTGGAGTACATAGGCATAGTGTATCCAGGTTTGACCACTGCATTATAAGCCCCAGCTCCCCCTTTCTTTTTGAATTTATAATCTGATAGATAACCTATTATTTTGTAGCAGTTTTCTTTACTATGGCCCTTCATTTTACAAAACTCACACTGAATGTTGTAACTTTTGGATTGAAACTAGGTTTAGCACTATATAGTGCAGTTCAATCATAAGAATGTGTTGCATTTACAGTAGGTGAGGATCCTAAAATGCCAGCAGAGGCAGCTAGAGCTCTTTGGCTTTCATCACTCATAAGCATGACATATGCTTGATTTACTGAAGGAAGTGGCTTCATCATAAGTATTTGACTACGAGCTTGAGAGTAAGAAATCATTCAAGCCCATTAGAAATTGATTCACCTTTTGCTTTCGTAGATGTACAATAAACTCCTTTGTCTTAACACAATCACAGCCAGGGGTGGGTATAACAGACTCAGATTCATCCCAAAAGTCCTTGAGCTTCGAATAATAGATAGAGATAAAGGAAGTACCTTGACTTAAGGTAGCAACTTCCTTGTGCAAATTGTAGCAACGAGTATCATTCACTTTGTCAAACCTCTCTTGTAAATCCGTCCACATCTTCTGTGCATTAGTGGCGTAAGCAATACCACTAATTAAGGCTGGTGCAACGGAGTTCATCAGCCATGACAACACAATTGAATTGCATCGTTCCCATTGATACCAATACTTCTCACGAAATCTCTCTTTTGGCCACCTGCCATCAACAATACCCAGTTTATTACTGCCAAGTAATGCAATCCTCATAGATCGATACCACAAGGAGTAGTTATCAGTGCCAGTTAGTTGAAATGAAATCAATGAGATTCCACTTGTGTCGCCCGGAGCTAGGCATAGAGGGTGAGTGACGGCAACTGTAACACCTTCCTCAAATTCATCATCAGAGGATACATGTGATGCATTTTCAGCTGTGACAGTTGCATTTTCATGATCCAATCAATCGCCATTATTGAGTACTTTTGGACCTCGAATTAGAAAAAATGAGATCTCAATTGTTTGAGACTACAGAGAAGAAGACAAAGTAGATGAGAAGACAGAGAATCGATTTATGAGCTTCGATTCAGAGCTCGAGCTCTGATAACATGCTGAAATGGAGGTTCGAAGAGAGAGTGAAACCCTAACTAACGAGGGAGAAGAGAGAAGAGAGGAGGAGCACGAAGATGAATGTAACAGTGAAGAGGAAATGAATGCTCTGCTTTTCATTACTTGTACAACCCGTATATATACAAGACTTCACTAACTACTCTAACCACCTTACTAACCAATCACATGTTTTATTAACTAACTAACTAATACACTAATCTGCTAACACATAAATAGACTAAATTACGGTTGTACTCAAGTTATATCTTTTGTCTCAACACGTTGTTTCATTTGATAACAAGGAATAACCAATTATTCACTCATTAAAGAAGATGAAAATAGTTTAAATTCAAAATACAATTAGCCATCTTATCCCTGATTGTGTTGTGTAGCTATCACAACATCTGAATCTGACAGACTTTATAAGAAAACTTTCAACATCATATCCTTAATTCATAAAGATGCATACTGTTGTCCTGACTCTCCAGAAATTTTCCTCAACAAAAAGTGTCTAGGTCCTTAGATTTTAAATATGTGGTCCAACAGATATGTATTCTCTGCTGGATTTTTGTGAATAAGCTTTGTGTTGAGCTTTATGCTAATCTTTTGCTTATCCTTCCACCTTTTTGTATCAAAATTTCGCCTTGTAATTGGTACATATGCGATATGTTCTTGTTTCTTGCTCAATATAACCTTGACCTTCAAACACTTAGCTCGACCTAATTGCTTTTCATGTGAAATTGAGAATATTTTGGCATACAAATGTGAATCTTTTCATGAGAAAAATCTGACTTGGTAGGAAACTTCTTTGAGTTTTTACGAGTGGCTAAAAGTGTGTAACTGATCAATAGAAGATGCATGCATCGAGAAATGCAGCATCTTTGTCACCAAAAATAAATAAAGGAAAAAGAAGAATAGGGCTATGAATCTTTGAGAGCATTTCTACATTCTTCGTACACAATGAACTAGTACTATATTTTTTTAGCATATTCTTTTAATTGCATGATCGCCTTATTTATGGTCCGACGATTAATTTGAGTTTAACCTTTGTACACTAACAGTGTAAGTATAATTATCTTTTTTACACCATTAGATTAAGATTACCTACAAAAAACAAGTAACATAGATAACTGTATATTTAATACACTAAAAATATAAAATTTCCTATACGGTTAGAGTATATAAGTTAAATCTATCGCATTATTATATGAAAATAGGGTGGAATGGGCATAGCTGACAGCAGTGATAATTCCAGGAGTCAAGACGGCTATGTCATTATATTTCTGAAAATAATGCATTGAGAATCTGAGTCAAAAATTTGCATGACATAATGAATGCACTACTAGCGCTTGGGCACACACACATATTAGGTCTGGACAGTTGTTATTGCAGGATTCATGCTCTACTAAATATTGTTATCCTGCACTTGAGAAATCATGGATCCTATTTATTTCTAGTATTGAATCAAGGCATTAATTTCCAGAAGGTGAGAAATTCATTGTTTACTCTCATGATTGGCTCCCCAGTATCAATTTCTTTCACCAGCTTCATATAGCTATACCCCACTATGATTGAATGCTTTGCTCATTATGTTGCAGGTTTCCAAACAATATAGCAAAATAAAAATTGCAACTTGCCTTACCCTAATCATTATTTGTCGACAACATAATTCAGACTATAAACATATATATCTTATTCTAAGGGGTCGTTTGGTAAGATGCATTAAATAAAATAATGCATGCATTAGTTTTGTGTATTAATAATACCTTGTTTGGTACACTCTTTGAACCTATGCATTAGTTACACCCCTTATTTGGTATTATCCTATGCATAGCTAATGCATAAGAAACCATGATATTAACAATGCAATGTGTTTTAATGCATGCATGTGCTTAGTTAACGATAAAATTGTCCTTAAAAATTTATGCTTGATAAAAATATACTATTATATTAACACAAGTTTGAAATAATCCAAGAAAGTGAAAAATAAAATTATATCCTTATTAAATAAATAAATACTTAGCATATTTTATTTTTTATAAATAAATATTCAATTCAATAACTATATAAGTAGACAAACCAAATACTTTTTTTTAAACCCTTTTCATATAACAACATTGCTCAACATATGTTTCTTTTAAAAAGATAAAGTGATGGACGGGTATTTTGTAAACAAATAATTTTTTTAAAAATTGTGCAATACTTTAATACATCAAACCAAACGATGAATAAGAAATATGTTAGCATAACTCATACCAGCATTATTAATACAATATATTCAGCATTATTCTTATACAATCTATCAAACGATCCCTAACGGTTATAGCACATGATGATATACTGACATACCACTACGGAATATGGTGAATACCTTCACTTTTAACCAAAGATCTCACCTTCTAATATTGGTAACAAAAAAACTCTTGATATAGACCCCATGTAACGTAAATTTAGATTAATCTGATCAACTGATCCCCGATACAAGATGGTTAAAAAAATATGACAGCGCACTGCTGACGTATGTATGGTGTACTTATGTTATTTTGACTTGCACCAAAAGACAAGAGAGAATAAGATAAATTACAGGCTGGTTTTTGTGACTTATGTTATGTATAGCAACGTCCTACAAAAAAATTTGGTATATTTCTAGATTAAAATAAGTAGAGAGAAATTGTTCTGAGCAGAATACATGGTTCTAGTGATCATGTGCAGATTCAGTCATTCAGAGAGACAATAGTCTGCAGATACTGTTAGCACTAACAAAGGCATTTATTCATGCTTGGCTAGCTTGGGGTCCAAATAACTAGGCTCCGCAGTTTAGAAGGGAATTGTTAATTTACATTCTGTTTGGAACATTATTTTCCGTCGTTTTATAATGTATTGTATTGTATTGTATTATATTGTATTGTATTGTATCGTATCGTTTTGTAAATACAATGTTTGGATAGATTGTATTGTTTGCTATTGTTAAATAATACTTTGTTGTTTGATTTGACTGTATCATACTGTACTGTAACTGATAAGTTGATTAAAATACCCTCAATTGTTTAAATATTAAATTTATTAAAATTATGCATAAAACTAATTTTAAAAAATAAATAGAAAAAGGCAAAACACCTTAAGAAAGTAGAACAAAGGAGCGAGACAGAAGAAGGCAAAACGAAGGAGCACAGCTAATTAGGATTGAGTTAAAAGTAAATTAGGAGAAAAAATAAAACAGAAGGCGGCAAAACATCTTTAACATTGGTGGCGGAAGTTCTTGAAAAAAATAAAGTAGGCTATAGGTTGGAGATTTGGAGTTATAATAGAAAAAAAGGTAAAGGGTAAAATATAATTGTGGAGTAATAAATTAGGGCATAATTGAAAAGAAAAATAGGAAACAATCCCACCACACCAAATCGGTTGTTTTAAAATATGATTTTTTAATTGTTCCGAAACAATGAATTTAATAATAAAATACAACCAATTTTAATGAAACAATTAAAACAAACATTATTTTGGGATAACAATACAATACGTGAAACAACCATCCAAACAAGCTGTTATATAAGGACAGTATCCACTACTCCACCACCTTACTCCATCAACTCCAAACTTATTCTTTAACAGTGGAATTCTAAATAATTTTGCGCATATTTTGATTATTTCACCACATATTTGATATTATATCTTTCACTAACACATATATCGAATAACAACAACAATAACAATCCAGTAAAATTTCACTAGTAGAGTCTGGGGAAGATAGTGTGTACGCAGACCTTACCCCTACCCCTAAGGGGTAGAGAGGTTGTTTCCGAAATACCTCGGCTCAAGAGAACAAAACACATATATCGAATAAGTCTGCTTATGAAAAGTTTAAGAAGACAGAATTTCTTTTTACCTAAAGTTGTTTGTTTTTACAAATTAAAATTAAAATTTATGATTTTCCCTGTTTCATCAACCATTAGTAAGCGTATTCCCTAATCCCTACCCCGTTCGCGAGGTGCTCAGACCTCAGTCGTTGATTTAATTTACAATTATGTTTTATTCTTCGCATATATATCTGCAGCAGTCCCGGAAGGCTTGTATTAAATAAAAATATCTGTTGTGATATGGTATGTTGTAGTCAATATATGCCGCCTTGTACATGCAATAATTAACCTAATTGTGAAAACCATGGTTTTGTCAGGACATATTTTGTTAGTTTGCTATTTCTGAGGATAGTACGAATAGTATGTATATATATGTCCACTTCTACCTTGTTTTCAGGTTGTTTTCATGTTCTTTGCTTGGATTCATTTATAAGGGAGATTCATGCACTTAATAGCTGAGAGGAAAACGTACAATTTTTTGCCGTAGCATTTTGATTGAAATATTGGCTGGCTCACCCATCTATGCTTATTCATACATCATGATTTTTATTCTTATATGAAATATGAATTCATTACACGAAAAGGAAAAGGAAAAGGTGAAAGAAAACAGTGAGAATCAAATATACACTTAATACATAGAAAATGTTCACAAATATCACTAACGCTTTCAAGCGAATCATAGGTGCTAATTAGGAACCAGAAATGTAACATTAATTTCGTATGTCACTAGTCACATTTTCGCGTACAAAAAAATAACTTCTTCTCACGAGAGCTTAGAAATTTCTTTTAGTGTGATTTTTGTAGAGTAAGTTGTAATATATAGGATCATTTGCGTTAATGATTATTTATTTGGTAAGTTCAAAACTTTAAGCTGGAGGCTCATGCATGTTTGTACTGAATATTTCATTTTCAAATTCAAATCATCTTAGAATTATGATTTTCATGAAAATTAAAGAAGACTCCACAGCTGAAAAAAATGTGTTGTTTAGTTAGGTTAGAACAATTATACG